GTTAAATGGGGAAAATTATATGTTCCTTGAGTTTTCTCACTCAAGATGCTTGACTTTATGCAAGCTTTGCCAAAAATAACCTCTTCTTGCTAAGCCCAGGTATGATAGGTTTTCAGAAAGTTATGACTGAGTTAAAATAGGATTGCAACGAAAGGTAAATGTGACTTGAGTCACAATGTGAGAGTTGAGTGAAATAAAGGGAAAAGAAATGTGCTGTTCTGTGATGCCTGAAAGAGTTCGTCAAAACCTGTACTCTTCAAAAGCAGGTATTTTTTTTGTTGTTTTACCAGCACATTGATTACATTAGTAATTCACATGCTTTCTGCTGTTTTTTTCTTTTCCAGAAAGACTCTTTGAATGACAGAAGATTAAATTGTTGTGACATTATTGATCTCAGGGCCATGATATCTGAGCTTCTGTTTTGTTTGAGGTTTTTTCACCAAAGTATGAGGGAGGTGTTTAATATTGCCACTACCTTTTCACGTTTGTAGCGGTTGAAGGAAAGGGTTTCTTGCATTCAAAGATTTAACTCTCTGTCTCTCTGATTAACAGAATTGTTTCTAACCCATTTCTGTGGGTCCTTGGAGGAAACTCTAGGAAAAACAGAAAAAATATAATAGGCTTTTTTTGATATTTGTAAAGAGGGGGAAGCAAACAGAACTTTAAAAAAATTTTCCTCGAGGTACAAAAAAGATACAAATCATTCTTTCTTCGCTCTGGCTCAGTAACCATTAGGTTACAACATTGATTACAACCTTTTTAATAGAAAAATACTATAATGTAAATGTTTGGCTGCAGTTAACTATTTGTTGCTGAAGTCTTGTAAGAGCCTTCCAAAACTTCGAGAAATCTTGAATCTAGGCAGATATAGTTTATTTTAATAGGTTTAGACCCTACGTATATCTCTGATTTGAGACCTGTGACCAGGAATTAGTGTCCTGCTGTTTACACTAAAGACATGTGTGCATAAGGCAGTATGTCCTAGATGGCATGCTTCCAAGGACACTCATTCAGGCTTACATGCTCCAATCTTAAAAATGAGGCAGTGGGGCTATGATAGGGGTGCTGCAGTTGTTTTCAACATTTCAGTCTTTGATGCATTTGTGACCGGTTGCCATGGGCACTTGTGCTACAGATTTGCTGGTGTATTTGGATTTGGAGCCTGTGAGGGTGATGGTGAGTGGATTACGTTCAGGAATGTCTTGCTGGGACATGCTGTCCAAGTGTAGAGAGACTGGCTGTGTCCATACGTGTGCAGCCGTCTGTTTGTGCGCACTGCTGCTGCTTGTCCCTGGGGAACGCCTGTGCCATGCCTGCTCTGGCGCGTGGCAGGTTACCCCAGGTGGGGTAGGGGAAGCTGAGGCCAGCAACCATGCTGGCCCCAGCAGCCTTGCCTGGGGGCCTCAGGGAGTTGCAGCTGTGGTGCTTCTGCAGTTGGGAGCTGGTTGGCTAGGCTCCGGTTTTGGCTGGTGTGTGCTGCCACCGTGTGTGGTGTGCACTGCCACCCCACTTTTTTTTTGGCATGGATTTTTTTGACCTCAGGATGTCCTGGGGTCAGCCCCCCGCGCTGCAAGGTAGCAGTGTAGGGCACTCTTATAGATGGGTCTGTGGTGCCACATACTGCGCATCCACACTCATCTGGATGCAGTCTCCGAGGGCATTCACTGAACTTATATCAGCCTGGGGGCGTTTTTTACTTTAGGATGTTGATTTACATTGTAAGTCCTTTTGAGTGATTTTAATTTATCAGCCTAAATGTTGAGTGTGAATTCTATATCTTAGTATTTTCCTACAATACCATAGAAGGGGTACATTTTAAACACCTTTAAGTTTTGATGTTTTACTTATAGGTTTGCTTGATGTGATGAAGAACACTTCTGTTGAACTTTTATTTTAAAATTTCCTTCTTGAACTCCAGTAGATTTTGTTTTCAGTAGAATAAGAATGAAAATAGTTTGCAAGATGTTTAAAAAAATCCTCTAGTGAAGACTATTATTTGTAGCAATATATATTCTAATTAGCAGGTTCCCCTTTTTATAATTTAAACTTCATTTTTTTCAACAATTTTTAAATTTTATTTTCAGTTTTTCATTGCTTTATACATTGGTACATGGCACTGTAATAGTTGTAACCTTATTTCCACTTACTGCTTCAATGTTTGGTTATAACAGTTCTGTAAATTTTTGTACAGTTCCCCTTGAAAGTTTAAATTCACATTCATAGAACAAAGATGGGTTTTTATTTGACAAAGGAAGATGGAAGTATATCCACTATATCCATTACATGTTTTGTTTTGTTTTGTTTTTTAGCTCCTGAAGAAAGGTGGTTGGGGGTGGTTATTGTTATCTTTTTAATTATTATTATTATGATTATTATTATTATTATTATTATTACAACTAAGAAACTTTTAACCTTTGGTCATAGTGTAAGACTTGTGCGAGCAATGCGTGCTCTGCTATGTTCAGCTTGTTACTAAGCTATTTAAAATGCTCTAAGAGCAGCATATCAGTTGAATCAGATTTAGAAGTATGCAGCAGTACATGCATTTGTGTTAGTTGTACTCGCTGTGAAAGAAAGTTTTGAGCACTTCTGACGCTCTGATTCTAAGACATTTAATATTAAGCTTTCTTCTGTATTTTTAAAATTTGAGTAAGGAAAAGGAAAATCCTCCACACTGCTGAGTTTCCATGCTAAACAGCACATTATCAGCCTTTATTAAGCATCAAGAAAACTGTCCAGCCTAGGCATTAACTTATTTGTGGGTGCACCTTGACCCTGCCTTTAACTTCTAAACTTGTGTGAGCCCTCTCCCATGTCAGTCATACGGTGTGTGCACCTGTACATTTTGTGCCTTTCCCAGATGCACTGTTCACCTGTTTCTCAGACAACTGTACTGCCCTAATGTTTGTTTAACGATTGCATGCCAGCTAACTTCATAGTAGGCATTTGCATATTTTCCCACACCTACTCTGCCATCCTTCTATTAATTATTTGAGTACATTTCTGTTCTCTTCAGTAACTAGATTTCTTTCTACCTTACCATCATCAGTTTTTATCTTATACCCAGTGTCTCGGTAGCGGCTCTCTGCAGCTATAGCAGTTATCCCAGTACAATAACTCTCCTCCTCAGTTGGGTGTTAAGTCATCTACCCCAGTGTTCTGCTTTGCTTGATGTGCAGTGTTCCTACACCCTCAAAACACTGGGAATTTTGTTCTACCCCATGTTGTGCTTGTTGCTATTACCTTAGTCCTTGGGTATCTTTTTCCTCACCATAGAAATCAGAATGGGATCATTGGGAAGGCTACAGGGTGGTAACTTAAGGCTGTTGTGGACTTGATATTGGATACAGATGTTGGAGAAGCCTGGAACACAAGTGGTTCAGTTGAGGCTAATGCAACATTTGAGCATGATTGGCAGCATGACTGGCCTCCCTAGGCTGGCTGTTGTAACAGTCTTTTACTATCTGACAGCTTTGTGACACTTTAAGTTGGCTTTACATTCTGCTAAAGTTCATTGGTTATGCTGGGAAAAATCTGAAGCCTATTTTGGGTGAGCAGGTAAATGGGATGTTGTTCAAAGCACCTGTGTGAGAGAGAATATATTGCTAGATATTTGATTTCTATCATCACAGTCAACAAATATAAATGACTGCACTTAAGAAGCAGATCCCTTTAAAGACTGTTATTTTTAAATATTAATTTTTCTTACATAACCACACTTCTGTGAATTTGATAACCTTTCTGTCATGCATCAAGCATTTCATAATTGACTTTGTTTAAATGAATGCTATTTCATTTGTGAGCTGCTGCTTTTTAAACTTAAGTTCATTGACAAAGCTATGTTTAGTTTGGCTCATCTGCATTCTTATTGCAACTTCTCTACCTTGTTATTCAATTAGGTTTGCATCCAGCGTGGATGATAGTATTTTGTGTGTGCAGTTGTTGAACATGGTATACTCTGAACTCTGTGCTGTGGCTACTGCATCACTGAGCTGCTACAGAATTGTTAGTCCTTCTTGGCAATTCCATAAAGCTAGCAGGAGGCCAACAGAAGGTGTTAGTGCAGGACTAGGCTATTATTTGGGGTGGAGGGCCACTTAGGGCATTTTGGTGAGCTGTTGTGGGGTGGGGGTGGGGAAGGGGTGCTACTACAGCCCACAACAGCTCACCAAAACTCCCTAAGTGGCTCTTCCCTGTGCTCCACTGGGCAGATGGGATAGGGCTGCAGGGAGCAGGACTGTGGAGCAGTGACAGCACAGATCCAGGGCAAAGTCGCAATCTCCTCCCTGGACACCCCTGCAGTGGGCACTGGTTTTGCAGGCAGGGGCATGTGGGGAGTGGATTGTGACACTGCTCCGGGCACCGGTTCCATGTCATCACCCCAGAATCCCAATCCTAGGCCCACCTGTCCACCCTGCTGCTGGACATTGCTCCCCGCTCTCCCGCAGCCCCATCCCATCTACCCCTCTGCATGACCTGTCCACAGCGAGGTACTGGCCTGTTTTTGTGGAGACCCTGCCTGCCCACTCCATCTGACAACCATGGCAGTGGGTGCAGGGTGGATGGTCTGGGGTGGCTGGGCAGCAGTGGCCAAGGAGACTGGCAGGGGCGGATCCAGCAGCAGCAGAGACTGGCAGCAGCAGCCTGAAGAAGCCGGTGCTGGCAAATGAGTGGGGATGTAAATATCGTTAAAAAAATATCTGTTTAACCTCCTTTAATTATATCACTGAAACGGTTAACTGATCACACGGCAACTCAGACACAGCTGCTCCTGGAACCCTTGGGGGGGGGGGGGGTGTTGGGCAGGGGGCATGGAAGAGAAGGCAGCTGTGAGAAGCCCAGCCAGACAACATGCTTGTGAAGCCCCAGGCTGGGAGGGAGGTAGCACTTGTGAAGGAGCAGCTCCTCCCCCCCCCACCAGACTGCCCTCCCCCCACACTAACGCAGTAAGCTAACCAATTATCACCGGGCTTATTGGTTAAATGATTAATCGTTTAACCTTTCACATCCCTAGAAGCAAGTCCGGCTGCCGCACCACCCCAGCCCCGCTGTATACCCTGGGGTGCCAGGACTGGCTTCACAAGCTATGGCCCAGGCTGTTTCCTGTGCCTGGGCCAGGCAGGACCTGCCACACGGGCTGGACAAAATCCCTTGGCAGGCCGGATCTAATCCATGGGCTGCATTTTGCCAACCCCGGCCTTAGTGAGAGCTCATCTAGATGCTGAAGTTTCACCTAACATGGAAGAGAAGTGAAAGCTAAGAACAATTAGTGGAAATGCCTGAAGAATTTCAAATGGGATCAAAAGCATAATGTTTACTTCCAAACCTGAAAGGTATCAACATGACTGCGCATTTGGCTTGCCTGCGCATTTGTGAAAGTACAGTATTCTAAATGTATGCACCTGTAGCTTTATATGTATAAACTTACTGTTCTTAAATAGTAACAGCTGCTATGTACCCTATTTACCTGAATCCAATATTACTATAGATTAAACATACCCCCCCAATAATTATTCTATACATTGAAAATTATAAATGTGTTATAATTTTCTATATAATCTAATTAATGAGAACTCATCTTAAATTCATCCCTCCCACTGTGGTTGGGAAGCAGTGGAAGAGGGTGAGGGGCCAGATCCCTGCTGCCATGTGCCTGTCCCTTGATACTTGCCCTCCTGGCT